CATATTTTGTCGAACACCAGCGTGAAAGAAATTTGTGATCTAAGTCTTTGACGACTTTAGCCACTGGATGGTGAAAGTACAGTCTGTCTGGCTTAAATGAGCTCCAAGTAGTGCGAACGTATGAACTACCAATTGTGTGTGTCATCATTATCGTAATGAAGAATTTGGCAGGCTGAGGGTAAAGGCGGTCGGATATTACGCTTCATGAGGGATGATGCAAGCGTTGGACCATGTGCATTTCTCAGTTTCAAGGTCACAATCAGGGCCAGGTGCGCATTGTGATGACCTTTGACCCCACTTTGACTGATTGACCTAGTCCAGTCTTGGCTTTCATTCCGTGGTTCTGTGGGCCAAATCCGACACCGCGGTCTCGTTGCGTGACGTGGTACTTGTGTCCTCGTTTGTTGGTTTACTTGTCTCAGCTGGTTTTGGGTCTGTCTGAAACATTTGCTCTTTCCAACTTTCACTCTTGCTTGTTTACGTAAATTAAAATGTGGTTTTTCGCAAATCGTTTGACGGTGTTTTGTATATAGCGTACTCTTTCTGAGCTCGACGTTCCGCCATCAAATATGCCACTGTCTTATCGTGTTCCAGGCGCGCTCTGCGGTTACTGTCGTCTGCAATATCTTTATAGCGGTCCTTCATCTTGAGCAGAAATTATCTCATTTCCAGGTTAAAGTTCTCATCTTGTGAGTAAGAGAAATTTTGTTATTTTCATCGATGTGTTGGCATCCGTGTTTCGAAAGATGTTATTGTCTCATTCTCACTGCTTTGTTTCTTCTCGTTTTCCGTGCTTTTTTTTGTAATCGTGAAAGTGGGCGGTCATCAGCTTCACGCTGAGGCCACTTTATCCACTCGAACATAGGCTCCTCTGGACTCCTTTGCACAGCGGACTGCGTGGACTCTAGATTTGGTCTGTTTTCGAAGGATTTTATATTTTCGGGTTTTCGATAAATACGAGATTTTCGGGCATGTAGCGTGAATGGGAAAATGTGAAACACGGAATTTTTGTCGAAATATTTGAGAGCGAAAGGCAACTTGAGGAACCAGGACTAGGTGGACTGGGTAAAAATTGATGAAACAGAAACTTGATTCAGGTGCGTCAGATGAATTTTCATTAGCGATCTCGTGTACACGCGATGAGACACCTCCGTGCCCTACAAAACCAGGAAACTACAGGACGAATGTTCGCTTTCTAAGGAATTTACTGCTCCGTTCAGGGGGGAGTTACTGCATCAGCCATTTTGTTTAGCGTCGCAAAATTACAAAGCACCAAGAGTGCCGACGGGAATTTGGGTCGTCGTCTGCGCCGCTCTTTTCCCAGGCAGCTGAATGTATTTACGTATCTAACATTTGATTGAAGAGACCTTGTTGTAACTAGATCCTCAGCTTCAAGAGTGGATCTTCCTTCGCTTTGTAGTATGGGTATTATACTACGGGACCGCGTGTTCTGGTCCATCCCC